GTCTGGACGCCACCCCCAACGCGCGCACCGCGCACACCCTCGGGAATCCGCGGAGCCTACCTTCCCGGGGAGGGGACGGGAGTGATGCGGCGCCCGCCTGCCCGCCTGCGTCCGCCCCCTGCGCCCCTGCCCTCTCCTCCCTTCCGCGTGCCCCCAGGCCACGGGGGAGGAAAGATCGTCTTGCACCTGCCTTAATGGGACCCTGGTGTCCTGCAAGCGCTCCCTTTTTCCTTTTGGCCTGCGATGGAAATTACCAAGAAATCCTGAGCGGGAGCACCTGTTTTCCGAAAGGAACAGCCACATAATGAAGGGGTGTGCAGCCAAAGCAGCTTCGAGAGGGATGGGGAAAGGCAATGAAAGAGGATAATGGTAACAAAACAAAAAAGTGCCAGTGGAGACAGATTTGGTCCTGACGGGCTTTGGGAGAGCTTCAGGGTCTGCTATTTGCAGGAGCCTGAGGAGAGGGGAAGCCCAGCTGGGGCCTAAGGGGAGGCAAAGGAAGCAGGGCCCAGGAAAGGATGGAAGGAGGGACCCAGGACCCCAGAGGTAGCCTGCAGCCTGAGGGTGCTCAGGCCTTCCCAGGGTTCCAGGCCACCATGAGGGCCAGGGACCATGGGTGATGCACATGGTGCCATGTGCTCCTGTCAGCTCAGGGGATTTCTGCAGAGGTGGGAAGTTAGCAGAAGGGCTGGCGCCCTGACCAGCTGTGAAAGGAGGACCAGAAGGGAGGAGAGGTGCTGATCAAGGCCCTAACCACCCACCCTCCCCAGATCCCACAGCTGCTGTCTGTCCTGATGCTTTGAAGAGTGGGTGACCTGTCTCCGTGCCTGCAAACAAAGGGCCAGAGACAGGAGGCCGGCGGGCAGCCTGAGACACCAGGTGCTGGCCCTGAGGATTCTGGGTGGGTAGGACAGAGATCAGAATGCCTGTTCCTCTCTCAAGTATGTCATGAGAGTAGAACATGATGTCAGGTGGACAAATGGTTTTTATTGTGGTAAAACATGCATATGGTTTACCATCTTAACCATTTCTAAGCCTACAGTTCAGTGGCATTAAGGACATTTCCACTTTTGTCCAACTATAATCCACCACCATCCACAAAACATTTTCATCTTCCCAAACTGGAACTCTGTATCCATTCAGCACTAACTCCTCACTCCCCTCCCCCAGCCTCCGGCACCCATTCTCCTTTCTGTCTCTATGAACTTGATTCCTTTGGGTCCCTCATATAAATGGAATCAGACTGCATTTGTCCTTTTGTGACTGGCTTATTTCACTTAACGCAAAGTCCATGTTATAGCATGTGTCAGAACTTCCTTCCTTTTTAGGACTGAATCCTATTCCATCATATGTATAGACCACGTTTCATTCATCCATTCATCTGCTGAAGGACGCCTGGCTGCGATCAGTTTTTGGTGACCGTAAATCATGCTGCTTTGAAAGTGAGTGTACACCTATCTCTTGGAGATCTTACTTTCGATTCTTTGGGGTGTGTACTGGATTGCATAGTGATTCTACACTTAATCTGGGGGGAGCCCGCATTACCTTTCTCCATGGCAGCTGCATCATTTTACGTTTCCACCAACAGTGCATGAGAGTTCTGATTTCTCTACATCCTCACCAACACTTGTTATTTTCGGTTTTGGCTTTTTAAATAACAGCCATCATAAGGGGTGTGAGGTGGTACCCAGTTGTAGTTATGAAACATTTTAAGTGTAAATTTATAAACGTAGTGGAGTAACACTAAGAAGGCAAAGTGGGCACCGGTCTCAGCAGAGGGGAAACATCCTGTTGATTATTTCAAATCTCTGCTCTTTAATTTTTGAGCCCAGTCCTACCAAAGGGGGAGAAGAGAAACGACTGAGGAGGGGGCACACAGACCTAACACTGTTTGATGGTCCTGTTTTGGCCTCTTTCTAATCACAAGCTAGAAAATTGAAAGGCTTTCATATTAACCAGCCCTGTTCCTGTCTTTGCTGCCAGAAGGAGACCAGAGATTCAACATCTCTTGGGAAGAGAGAAGAGAAGGGAAAAATATATATACCGTGCTTGTCTTCTGCCTGGATTCTTTGATTTATTCCATTTGGAAGAGATGCTAGTGTCCCCAATGTTGACAGTGTGTATAGACTGGTGGGACTCTCTGAAGTCCTTTTTCCTAGAAAAGAGCTGAAAAACAGCAAGTGTGCGAGCGGAAGGGCGGCCGTCCCACCCCGGCTGGGAGCCGTCTCAGTGCTGAGCACCCCTCTGCTCCCTCCCGCGGCCTCGGCTGCTGGTGAGCTCAGCCAGCCTTGTGAGGAGTCACTTGTGGTAGATTTCCAGAGCGCTCCGTTATCCTTTCCTCTTCTTTTTAATATTACAGCCTGCGGAGACAGGTCAGTGTTTTTATTGCCCACATCTTAAGTGAAAACGTCTAGAGTGGGCACAAGATAATCAAGGGAAAAGACTGTGGTGCCAGGGTCGCACCCAAGCTCCTAGCCCCAACTTGGCCTTGGCCACTGGACCACACTGCTGCTTTCATCTGACAGGAGGGCTGGCACCGGACACAGATGAGAGAAACCAGAGCAGCCAGCCTTGGCAGAGACCTCGACCTCCCTTCTGCCGCCGGGCCAAGTCTGCCACTTGCTGCACCGCGGAAGCTCTGCGGTGTTTCGGGGGGGCGTGGAGGGAGGAGGTTTTGGAGGCACCTCCCCGTATCTCGGCTCCGTGGGGCCCAGAGCTCCCCTTTAATTGCTGCGAGGGATCCCCAGAGAGGAGGCTGCACTGCACATCAGGAGCTCCTTACCTTAAGACAAAAGAACACAATCGTGAGGTGCCACCCTTCCCTCTTCCCTTGTTAGAGCGACTTCCAGGTGAGAGAGAAGATGCCAGAGGGTTACGTTCCAGGGGCACTGAGACTGGGAGGCCTCTCAGCATTCTGAAACGGCTTTGTAGTGTTTGGATCCAAGCCATTTGCTTCTAGAGAGAATCACATTGGGTAGGAGCTTGCCTTTTCCATTTGCAATGGCTTATTAAGTATAAGCATCTCTCTTCTCTGTTTACTGAGCGATTAGCTCTCCCGCCAATGACCCTGCCGGGGAGAGAGCCAAAGTGTGTCCTGAACACACAGTTACCCTGCAGCACGTCCTTCCCCCACACCCAGAGGCCACCCGCAGGACTCGTGCTTAACACTGGGATCTTCTTTTTACAGTCGGCAATGAGCATCTCCGCCGATGGTGCAATGTCACCGATGCCACCCGTGTTTCCCGTTCCATCCCAGTCCCAGCGGAGAGAGAGAAGGGGGACCCGGCATGGCAGAGGCGGGCCTGGGCTGTGCCGCCTGCACGTGGCGTGACGGGGAGGCCACAGCCTCAGGGCTCACGTGCCATCGCTGACTCTTTGCTGTGTGTCCCACGGACGAGTGTCCTTCCTGTCCCCGCGGGACAGGACAAAAAGAACAGAAAAGGCTCCTTCCTGCACCTGCGTGCAGGCAGTTGAAAATTCTGGAAACCTGTAAGCAGTAAAGATTAACCAGATTCTGGCTGATTAGTAGCCGGTCACCTGGCTGAACGGGCTGGGTTTGAGTAAGTCAGTTTAGTGGGAGGTCAGCCCACCGGGAGTCAGCCCGACTCCAAAGGTCGCAGTGAAAACAAAATCATGCCATTTACCCACATTTCAGAGACTGGATTAGGTTGTAAGGCTTGGTCTGGAAAGAAGGATTAATTATTTCCAACTAGGTGGATTCTGCGTCCTCTCAGCCAGTTTCTCCCTTGTGCTGTGGAGAAAGTGTAAGATACATCATGGATGTTGTGATATAAACACTGTCTCCCTGCCTGTACCACGGGGCAGACTAATGAAATAATTCAATCAGACCAGCTTCCGCCTCTGCCACGTTCTCAGCGGAAGCTCTGTGCTCTTGCGCTGCTGTGCGCAGGCTGCGCCCGTGCGGTTCCGCAGTTAGCATCCCGACGTGAGGGTGGAGTTTACTGAGTCTAGCACCCTCTTACACTTACAGGACACAGGACTGCCGCGGGTGCCGGCTTTAGGAGCTGGCATCTCGTCTAAGGGCTGGGACTATTTCGTCTGCCCCTCACCCCAACCTTACCAACCACAAAAGAAAAGCAGACTTCTCAGCTCGCACTGCTGGGGTTGGGGGAGGGTTCTGGGGTGGGCGGCAGAGACAGACTTGAGCTCTGTTTGAGCTTCAGTGCTCAGAGTGCTTCCCACATTTGTGCTGGAACACTTAAAGATCGCTGCCTAGTGCTTTGGCGAGCGGGACAGGGCAGTGGTCGTGGGGTGAGAGGTGCCCTGGGACCAAAGGCACCGATCCTTCCTCTCCCTGGGACCTCCTCCTGTCCCTGCAGCCTCAGTGCTTTGACTTCAGGCAGAGATGCCGTTCCCAAGCTGCCAGGGTTCCCTTTGCACCTGCTGAGGGTGCAGGTGATGTGGCCGCATCACAGGATGAGCATGGCCTGTCTTCCTGGAGCATCAGAGCACCACGTGATTCTTTAGGGGACAAGCTAAGTAATTTAACCAACTGATAAGTTCAAACTCTATCTTTGTAGAAACACAAGCATGAATCTATCCTCCAATAGCACATAAAATCATCATATAATTTAAAAGCAAAAACCCAGACTTCAGATGCTTTTGGTGATTGGAGCCGATGGCTTTGGACCAATACCTGGCCCTTCTCCTCCAAGCACATGAGGTTTCTTCTGACATTAGTGGTATTTTGGTGGAAATTTTTGAGAATTCTGCCTTATAGCGTCTTCCCCCTCCTTTACGTGGTTGGGAATTTAAGTTTCAGGACATTATATTTTAAGATTCATCCTCTCCCCACCCACCTCCACCCCCCACCACATAGACAGATTTGGGGCCACCTGTTCACTCCTCAGCCAGGAGGATGGAAGATTCCTGCTGCCAGATCCTTGCCTCCATCCCGCGGAGTCTGCAACAATGCCCTCCAGCGTGACGGGAGGAGAACACGCCCTTGGCTCCACTTCCAGGTTCGGGCTTGGACAGCATGTGGTCTGTGCAACCATTAAGCCATGGGACTGGCTGGAGGGGCACCAGGTCCCAGGGGACACAGCCCAGAGGCCCCCTGTACCTCCATGTCCTCTGCCTGCTCCAGGGCGTGCTCTGCACCTGACCACGCTCCCTGCCGCGATATGTGGCCGTGTTTGTAGTCACTGCTGATGCCGCTGATTCCTCCCCTTCATACGCGTCCACGTACATTTCCTCTTGTTCTTTCGGGCAGCGCCACCCATTCCTTTCTGATGTGTTCGCCTCCCCGCACCAAGGGATGGAGGCAGCGCCCAGAGAAGAAAGAAAACCTTTTCCCCTGCTTTCCTCTTTTCTCCTGAGGATCAGGATGCGCTGGGCTGGCTCAGTCCCCTGAAAGCTGCAGCCACCCCTGTGCTCCCAAGCGATGCCCATGCACGCAGAACCCACCTCTTCCCACAGCCATGTGCTTGGCAGAGGGTCTGTCTGTTCTGGGCAGGGGTGGGGTGGGTGCTTTGTTCCACTAGAGAAATGAACACAAGCTGCCCTTTGCCCTGAGCAGAGATGGTGAAATTAGACCCAGGTGATCATGCAAATGCTCTGAAAAGTCAATGAGGCACAGACAGTGTATCAAAAACAACGTATTTGGCGGAAATTTTGTTTCCTAGAGGTTTTAGACTCTTAGAGGGTGAAGACAGCTAGTTTATGTCACATATAACCTTTCAATTTCCCATCTAGTGTCTTCCACTTACCGTCTTCTTTCATTCACATCCAATCCTCTTTTTCTCCTGTACAAAGACCACACTGAAGTTCACTGTGCCCTCTCTGTGTCTGTCTGTCTCTCTGTGTCTGTTTCTCTCTCACGTGTGTCTTTCTGGTACCCACACGTCAGGGTACAGTCTGAACAAATATAATATTTTATAGCAGTTTCTCAAACTGGCTCTTCCACTGGATGCCTTGACTTTCTACTGACATAGAGCCTGAGGCATGTCCAGAAAAATCAATAAATTTTCCTGAATTCAGTAAAATAAACTTGATTCAACTTGTGAGCGATAGTGATTGGCTGGGCAGCTGTGCGTGGGGGCTCCCCGAGCTCCCCTGACACGTGGTCGATGCTGGGTGGGCCTGCCCTAAAAGCTGTCTTATAGCTGGTATATCTGTCACCACACCACCACTGTCCCCTCCCCGCCACCGAATCTCCAGGTTGCTTTTTTTTTTCTTCCTTCTTTGGAAATGAGAGAAGAAGAAGAAATAAAACCCACATTTATGGGGAAAATAATGAAGCAGGTTGATATCTTGTTTGTTGCCTCGTTGGTGGATGTGGACTCACTGAAAGATTAGGAGAGCCGATGAAATCGACTGCCAGGGAATGGGTATCTAAGAAATCACAGGGTTTCCTTCTTTGTATGGTTTCCCAGTCTTATCTGAGTTTAAAATTTCAGATACTGGTCTGACTTAATCAGCACACTCCGTGGGAGGAAGGAAGACCTGGATGTTTTTATTTATCCTTTTCTTCCTTCAGCCTCCCCTGGTCTCTCCATGGAGTAGATGTTAGAACTAAAACGGTGTTCGCCTCGACTTTTGAGATCCTGCGTGTTGATGGTCTGAGTAACCCCGTGAGTTCCCCCCCACCCCCGCCTGGCATCGTGTGACCGAAACACTCAACGTCTGACTTCAGAAACTCACACTCCAAGTTGTGCACACCTTTGCCCAGGATTCTCCTCTCCTCTTTTTAAATTTCAACTTAACTTTCTTCCTCTAGGACAGAACCATGGAGAAACACCACAGAATAAAATGAAAGCTTTGCAAAGTGAATTTAGGGTAAGAATTGACTACCAGAACAACAGGTGAAAATGACAGGGAGCAGAAAGCAAGAATATTGGCTATCAGAAAATAACAGCATTCAAATGTAATTCTGTGCCTGGAGAGGGCCTGGGAGGGATATTAGCCCCTACCCGTTTCCAGGGCGATGCCGCTCAGAGAGGAGGGATGGCCAGCGTGGCTTCCTCCTCTTGGAAAGCAGGTCTTTCCTGTGGAGAATTGCAGGGGATTGTGGATTAAGGGGAGGCACTGGAGGAGAAGAGCTTGTGTTTTCTGACCCTCGAGCAGTGAGAGGCCCGCCCCTGGTGGCCTGAGTATTGGAGATGCGGGACACCCTGGTGGGTGACGCCCGAGCCACGCGGCACCAGGCGACCAGCACCTGCCCCCGACCGACCTGTGGTATAGCCTTGGCCTTGGGGCTCTGTGAAGCAGTTTAAGACTCTGGATTAGCTCTGGACCATAGGAGCTGCACACCGACAGCATCTTTTTTTTTTTTCTTTCAAATTGGGCATGAAGGCACGTTGCTCCGTCTTCAGGCAGGGCTGGAGTGAGCCATCTTCCTGCGGTGGGAGCTCGTGTTGTGCACTGTCACTCGCGGAAGGTCTGGCAGAGGACAGCTGGAGCCATCGCACAGCAGCTTTGGATTCTGTCCAGCCCCCTCCACTCTCAGCCCAGCTCTCTCCCTTCAGCATCTGGGAGACTGACAATTTCAAGTCTCCGCTCCCAGAACAGAGGGGAAAACACATTTCCAGGACCCTCCCATCCCGACTGCATGTTTGATGTCAGAAAATCAGCATGTCGTCTTGTAAAGATGCAAAAGTTTCGGAACAAATATCCTTAGGGTTCTGACTGCAGGGAAGGATATGGATGGTAGGAGGGGGGCTGTTTGTCCCTCCAGCAACAGAAAGTCAGGACACACTTGGGGTTGAGGGGAGCCCTGTTCCTAGGGAGACTTTCTAGAATTGCAAGGCTGGCCATCAGGCTTATGGTCAGAACTAGGAAAGGAGCGGGGCGGGAGGAGGGTGGAAATGATGTCTTCCCTGGGTGACTCCTCAGTGGCCTGTTTCAAATCCACACAGGTGACACAGACATGCTGTTACCTGTGGGGACTGAGAAGAAGAGAGACCATGCTTGTTATGTTCAAGATGACCCCCGTCAGATCGGTGGGGAGGGGGCTGTGGAAGGGACCACAGGAAGGGTTGAGTCCAAAGGATGGCACACAAGTCAACTCGAAACTAGTTTGAAATAGTGGTGAAGACCCAAACACGCTTGTTTGGAGGGCAAAATCAAAGAAATCCACTGGGAACAAATGCAGAGTAACCGGAGGATGGAAACAACCAGAGATGGAGAAAGATGGGTCCCGTGTAAGAAAACGTGTGGATTTCAGTTCACCATCACTCGCTTCCTACCAAAGAGCACCCGTTTGCGACGTCCCGTGCCTTCTGTATAAACACCCCCGCTCTTGAGAAAGACACGTTTTCCTCTGAAAAGCGCACCCCTGGGTCTTCCCGGGGGCAGCCTCGCTCTGTGTGTGAAATGGGCATATTTCTACAGTCTCCGAGAGGGCAAGCCTGAAACACTCTGCAAAGTGTGAAGGTTCGCGAGGAACAAAATGAGTTTTTCCTGTTGTGCGAGAAATCAAAGGGCTAATACGGGAGAAAAACACTCCAGGGGGAAGGGCACCTGGGACCCCAGGCGGGCAGCATGTTGGCATCTCCGCCTCCTTCCCTGCGCTGTGATCTGGGAAGCTATCCTAGAGCATGGTGAGTACATTGTGTGTTGTTGCTCAAGGATTTCTGCATCTTGGAAGGGATGGGTCCTGATTATGAGCAGAAAGAGTGAAGTGTCTCTCAAAGAATGGTTTTGTTATCTGGACTCCAGAAAATGCGTATGTGAATATCACCCCCAGGAGAAGGAAGGAAACACGGAGGGGAGATGTGCTGAGCGTCATCGGATGGAGCCGGGGGCTTCCAGCCCGATTTTGCCGCTGCTTCCCCAGCCATCCACCCACCCATTCCCTCTCCATCTCTGGAGAGTCTCAGTCACCAGTTTGGGGTTTCCGTTTACCGCTTGCAAATCCTGGCCCAGGGCCCTCCCTTGTTTCTGCTTCATCGCCTGCCTCCTTTTCACCATCCAAACACTGGGAGTCAGCGTCTCCCAAGTCACGCTGCTGAAGAGAGGGGAAAAACTTTCTGCATC